CGGGCCCGGTGCAGGAGCGAGGGGGACGGGAAGCAGGGAGCAGGCGCGCGGCTGGCACGCTGCAACCCTGCCCGCTTCTGCCATCGCTGAAATGCTGGTTTGTAGCAAACCCTCCTCTTCCTCTCGCCTTGCCCTTGGTCCGGCCGCCCTCGCTTTGTTCCTTGCTGCTGCAGAAACTGAACTGATTCTGTTGGCGACTTCACGCCGGGCTGTCTCGCAGGGACCCGTCCACCTTTCAGCCACTCGGCTCGGATAAAGCCCCGCGGCCTCCGTGGAGGGGAAGATCACCTCGTGGGGTGCGCGTGGGTCGGGGCAGGAGTTTCTGTGGGCCACGAATCGCGTTGCAAAGTCAGGCCGGACACCTCGGGGTCAGCGCACGGCTCCGGTGGTGGCCCAGGGGAGGCGGGGGGAGGCGAAATCCCCCACCGCGCTCTGCGCCACCGCTCCAGAACGCGACTCCTTCGGGAAGGGCAAAGGTGCTGCTGCGTGTACGTGGCTGGGGGTGTCGCTTGCTTGAGGAACCCCAAGTTTCAGGAAAATCCATTTCTTTCACCTTGCTGCTTTCCCATGTGGTGAAAGCGTCACGCGGGCTGGCGTGAGCAAGCTCTCGGCTTGAAATAAAGCTCTGCAGAGGAGCAGCAGCGGCTCTGGTCCTGCTCAGGTGATACTGAGAACAAACCCATGAGCGGGGCGGGAGCTTGCCCGGCGGCTCTCGGCTCGAGCCCGGGCGGCGCTGCCCCGCAGGAGCCCGAGCTTGAACAGCCAGGGCTTGACAAGAGGAGCACTCGCGCAGCTACGCCCGTGTATAGGCTGCACTGGCGCTATAGGCGGTATCGGTGCAGTACTACAGGAGATGCGTTGGAGTCCCCCTCAATTTAAATTTCTTTACTGAAAGAGTGGTTAAACATCGGGACAGGCTGCCCAGGGAAGTGGTGGAGTCACCATCCCTGGAAGTATTTAAAAGACGGGTAGATGAGGCGCTGAGGGACATGGTTTAGTGGGCATGGTGGTGTTGGGTTGACGGTTGGACTCGATGATCTTGGAGGTCTCTTCCAACCTTAATGATTCTATGATTCTATGATTCTAATACCTGGGCGTTAGGGTGCAAGTGGGTGCTGCTCAGGCGTTAGGGGCGAAATGCAAGACGTGGCTCGCTCGGGCTGATTTGCAAACGGTTTTATGGCTCTAAATTGCGTACGCTAATTTTATCGCACCAGCCTTGTAACCTGAACAGCAACACGGGTGTTGGGAGGACGTTCATGCGTGCGTGTATACGTATGTGTGGGTAAAGGATATTCATTTCCATTTTGGACCTCTCCTCTCCCATTGCTTGAATGGCTTAAAACTACTTTTAATTCTAGAGTTACCTAAAATCCCCGGGAAAGCAGGCACGGGCTCAGTCGCAGGGCGCGAGCTGGCAGGGGAGGCGGGCGGTGGTGTCCCCGGGGGACCGGGGCTTTCCCCCCCCCGTGAGTTACGTTGTGCTCTGGGTACCCAGGCTGGAGCAGCCGGGGATGTAGTGCAACCGTGAGAGCGTAAAGGTGGATGGCTCTTGTGCCTTTGGTTAACTGGTTGGGTTTTTTCCCCCCAGGTTTCCTCCTGCACATGAAATACCGGCTTTGCAGGGGTGGGCGCTGAAGTCAGTTTTAAATGCTGTCTTAAATCTATTGCTGATTTCTTAGAAACACAGGCTTTGAAATAGTTTTCAGATGACACTTTGTTTCTGCAGGCTTGAAGTGCTTTCTTAATTTGGTTTTTTGTGTGTGACTTTGGAGGAGAGGAGGGTCCCCATTTCTGCCATGGAGGAGGCGGTGTTGAGCTCCTCCAACAGCGTGAAATCCTTCTGAGATAGTTTGAAATACCTTTGGAAACGCACCTTCAAACCGTGTCTCTTCGTGGAGTCTTTGGTGACTGCCAGGACCGTTTTTTTGCCTGCTATCCGCCCCCACGCTCTGCCCCTCGCCACCTGCGCCCCAGTCCCTTCCTGCCCCTTGCCTCTCCCCGTGCCCATCGCCCTCACCCAGCCTGCAGAGCCGCCCGTTGGGTTACGAGCCTCCCCTCATCCCTCCTCTTGGGATGGAGCGGCTGGGGATTTGCTAATCCCCCCCCCTTCTTAGGAGCGCGGATTCCCTGCAGCCCCCTCGCCCCTTGCTCCCACCGCACCGATGGTCTTTCCACCACCGATTTTAGCAGAGAGACCTTTTCACGTGGGACTTTCCCCTCGTTTCTCCGCAGGCAGCCGGTGACCGAGGGCTCTCCCGCCTGGCTGCCCGTCGCTGCCCGCTCCCGCCTCGCGAGGAGTCAGCCGGACGTCAGCGTTCACATGGAGGAGGTGGTGGTGGTGACGACGCCTGACGGCGCGGTGGATGGAGGCGGCGTGGAGGAGGTGAAAACGGTGCTGGTCACCACCAACCTGTCCCAGCACGGGTAAGAGGCGGGGTCGGCGTACGCCGAGGTGACGTGCTGGAAAACCTCGCGCCCGTGGTCGTAGTCGGCTGGGCTGGGTGTATTTAATCACCTACTACTTACTCCTGCGTCACTTCTCACGGTGGGGACCTCAGCGACGTCTGGGCAATCTCCGGTTCCTCGTTAGGTCCTCGCTGACGCCCCTGGGGCCATGCCCAGGGCTGTGGGCTCTGCAGCTCCGAGCTTGTGGAGCAGAGCAGGCTCCACCTTTTCTGTTAAAGCTGAGTTACCACCGGTGGTTTTAAGCCGGGGCTACCCAGAATAAAAAACAATGCGACAGTTTGTTTTGGATGGATGGGGGAAAATGTCTTTAAAAAAAAATCAAAACCAACAAAAACCCCAAAACCAAACCAAAGCATCTTTTCTGAGTGGATGTGGATGTTGGAATGAACACAGATCCCGTTGGAACAGGACACCAGTAGCTAAATCAATGTTTTTCTGCTATTTATTTCGTGATTGCTTCACTAAGCGGCGTACCTCCAAGAGATGAGTCTGTCCACGGCGTGGTGAGTGCGGTGCAGCAGGGCTCCTCTTCCCAAGGCGGGTTTGGGGCCGTGTTTTTCGGCAGAGCTCTGCGGGAACCTCCGCTGCCGGCAATAGGAGTGAGAGAGGTGGCCTTGAAACCACGTGGCGTTGAATGGAGAGACACTGCTCAAAAAACCGGAGTGAATGTGTCTGATTGTTAAAGTGCTGCTGCTTTGCCCAATTTCTGCCTTTCTTGTTGGCGTTTCGGCTCCGGGACTGCTGCTCGTTCAGGTCTGGTCTGTTCGGCTGCAGGTCGGTCAAGTCTTTGCTTCCACGGCCAAAGTGCCTGGCTGGTACCTTGAAGGCCCGTGTAGCGGTGGGTTCTTTGCTTTATTTCTCTACAGTCTTTTGCGGGACGGTGCCCAGAGACATTTTAGCGCTTTGCTCTTTTGGTGGGCAAGAAAATCCAAGTTCACACCCGGAGCTGGATCCGGGCAGGTTTGTCTGATCCAGAAGCCCCTGCACTCGAAATAAGTGGGTAGCGAGCGGCTGCGTATTGCTCTCCACAAAAAGGAGACATTTGTCTCCTCTCCTCAAGCGTGCCCTGCTGTTTCTGTGTCAGTTCCCTGTGGCTCGGGGCAGGGCACGGCTTTTACATTACAGCACGGGCGCCATTCCCCTTGTTCTGCTGTAACTGGTGTAAAGCTCATTAACAGATGAACTTCTGGTAAGGGACGGGCAGGGGCAGGCAGCGACGAGAGCCGTCAGCGCTGGGGCAGGCAGTGGGGACGCCGTGGGCAGGAGCTGCCCTGCTCCTCCTCCGCATCCCGGGTCTGCGAGCGCTTCCGAGAGCCTTTTCCATTCCCAAGAGAGCGGGTGATGGTGGGGAAGAAAGGCCCCGCTCCTCTTGCTTTCTGGCCCACGGTGACTTCCTTAGCTCCCTCGGTGGAGAAGCAGCCAGATGTGAAACTTGGGATGTGGCTTTTCTTGGATGCAGAACGGTTTCTGGTTTTAATGTGGCTCTGAGCCTTTGCAGACCCAAGTGCAGCAGCGCAGCGTTGTCCGGGAACATGGATCATGACAGAGGCTGGCTCAATCAGTTTGATTTCCTTTCGATCTTATTTCCTTTCCTATTTTTCTCTGGAAACCTTTTCTCATCTTCCCAGTGTCCCCTGGATGGTCAGGAGCAGGGACAGCTCTACACAGCAGAGAGGATGATTTTTATTTTAATCGCAGCTACGAGCGGAGCATATCTTAGCGGGCATTAGGAGATTCCCTGAGGGTTTTCCGTGCAGCTCTCTGGAGAAGGGCTGGTGGGCAGGCTTCTTGCTCCCCCGTGCTCCGGGACGGCAGCGTGTCGATGGGAAGGACGTGGATCTCGGGCTTGCGGAGCAAAGCCTGCCCGACTCCCGTTGCGCCGGCTGCTGGGACTCCCCTCGCCGAGCGGGGCTGTGGGGCTGGTGGTGGGTGGCAGCATGAGCCACCCACGGTCTCTCCGTAGCCGTGGACGGTTGCCTCCGCCGGGTTTCGCTCCTCCCAGGGAGACGCCGTAGCGGCGCTGGCTCCCTCTCCCTCTGTTTTCCCTCTGCAGCCCCAGCTGGCGTAAGGAAAGCGGCTGCAGGCACGGGCTGGGATTCCTCGGCTTTGGCTCGGTCACCGCTCGCACGGGAAGCGGGCTTTCAGCTTGTCTTAAGTGGCGCTTAGAAACCAAGCTCAGCTTGGGGGTTGATGCCTTTTTCTAGTGCTCCTTTGGGTATGGTTTTGCTCTTTAAAAAAAAAAAAATGCAACCAATGGTTAAGAGCTTAATTAGTTCATGTGTTTTAAGATTGACTGGAAAAGGCAGAGGGAAATGGGAAGATAGTAATAATCAGCAAGAAGCTTTTCCCTTCCATCTGCGATTGGAAGGGATCTGTACTCGACGCTCTGATGAGGTGCTTGTGTTTTTGATCAGCATCCCCAGCGCAGGTTTCTGGTGGAGACTTTTTTTTCCTCTCAAGTTCCCAGGCGAGGCAGGAGCGGAGGAGAAAGGAGACACAAGCCCGCTGCTTTATCAGCACGCGCTTTCTCCCTTCCTCCCATCTGGTTGATGGATCCTCCCGGGGAGGAAGATGAGAGCCGTCCTCCCCCGGCTTCGTCATGGCAACCGGTGAAGGCAGGACCGGCTCGGTGGGATGCACCGCTGGGGCCTGGAAGGTGTTTGAGTTTTCTCCTGCATCTGCCTCAGTCTGTTCCTCTGGAATGGGATGGGGGAAGCGGTGTGGAGAAACTCACCTTTTCCTGTGGTTTTTCTCTTTCCCCCCCAGTTACATCTCCATGGCAGACGCAGGCTTTAGTTGCTTGAATTTTTTATGCAAGCTGTTGAAGTTGGTTGGCTTGTTTCTCTCTGGAGGATGGGGTTTAAGACATGGGCTGGGTTATTTCTCCCAATCCAATCATGTCTTGGGGTCATTTTTTGGAGCGGCGCAAATGCGATGGACTCCTGGAGGAAGCTCTGTTTCAGGCGCTGACTTTCTGCTGGGGTGCTGCTTCTAGGTAAGTCGGTGGAGGTTTTTGATCTGGTGGCAGGCGGAGGCAGGTCGGAGTCAGGGCTGTGGAGCGCTGGGCTTTGCACGTCGGGGGTGGCTGCTGCCTCTTGCAGCCCTGGCACCCTGCTGAAGTGGTATTGCTGGCTTTTCTCCGAATGCATCTGGAGCAATGCAGGAACCAAGCGGCAAACTGATGAAGAAAAACCAGGTTACGATTCTTCCATTTTTCTCGTGTCAGACTGCCACTTCTGTGATATTCACCCGTGTGCAGATGCGTTGGCTCCGAGTTTACCTTTCCGAGTCCTTTCGCGTTCTCCACCGCCTTTCCCTCCCAGGGGTCTGGGTTGTTGGTGGCCGCGAGCTGCAGAGGCAGCGTGACGTCCCGCGGCGCCTTTCTTCCACGGCTGGGGCTGTCTTCAGCTCTCGCTTCTCTGAAGCAGCATCTCCCGAGTTTCTCACCTGGTGAGGCTGAGCTGCCGCCCGCGTGGGTTCCCTTATCTCGGTGCTGCTCCCCATCAGGTCCCTGCCCTGCAGCTGGCAAGGGGAGGGGTGCTTTGAAGCTGCAGTTCCGCCCCGGAGCTGTGTGTTAGGAGGCCAGGATGGAAAAACCAGTTGCTCTTGAATTTGCTTGTCCCGGTGGCACCGCGGGTGGGAAATGTGGTTGCCGGTGAGTCACTAGGACCATTCTTTTAATTCACTTGTACCAAACTGGGGTAGATTTCAGGTTTGTTTTCTCCTTACAGTCTTCCTTAGGAAGTTTATGTGCTGAAGTATGTGAAAAGTTAGCTGTTCTCCCTCCCCGCCCCTGCAGGACGAGCTTGCTACAGTAATTAGACACCTTCAATAACAAAACCAAACGCACATCTTAAAACCCATTAGGAATGGTCCATGCTGAGAGCTGGCCGTGATGCACAGGTCGGATCCGGAACCCTCGCAGCCGAGGGGGTGAGGAGCGTGTCCCAGATCACAGCCCTAAATGCCTTTCCCGTCTGAACGTGCACCGAAGCTCGTTGGAGGGGCTTGGGGCTCCGTATGCCGCAGCGAGAGCTGGAAGGGGCGAGCAGTGAGGGTGCGGATGCTGTGCAGGACCAGCTGTGCGTCTCCGTCGGCAAAGCAGCGAGAGAAGCCGGAGATCTCCGGGCTGGGGAGGATGAAAACAGTCGGATAGCCAGCTATTAGTTATTATCATGGGTATATTGAGTTGTAAGAGGCTCAGAGGCTGGATCGCGAGGGTCTGTAGCTCATGTTATGTTATCTCTGCTCATGGATCCGCTGTTAGGGTTTGTCGAACTCCTTTATAGCGTGTTTGCGGCTCCTTGAGGTCCTGCTCCTGGGAGCATCCCGGCGGATTCAGCCAATCCATCGCCCAGACAGCGGCAGCGTATTTCGCCTGTGTTTTTCCTGGGGAAATCTTCTCGGGCAAAGCTGCCAGAGGCTGGCAGCGACTTCTGAGCGAGGGGCCGTGCTGACAGCATCCCTCCACGCCAGCTCCCTTGCACGGGCTGCGCCGGAGGCAGCTCCGTGGGGCTGGGGTTCAAAGGGAGGCAAGGCAGTGCCGGCTGGGCTGCCGGCAGCGGTCCTGCCGGCTGCGGGGCTCTTCACCTCCCTACGGAAAAATGGAGCTGAGCCTCTCAAAACCAGAGCCGACTTTTAGCTCCTGTGGGGAAAACGTAGTCCGAGTGACTTCTGAAGCAATGTCTCCGTGGGGCGTCGGGTGTGGGGGTGGCACATCCACGTGGCTTAACTCTGCCTCTCCGACTCTCTTACCAGCGGTGACATAAACGAAGACACGCTGGAGACCGAAAATGCAGCTGCTGCGGCTGCTGCTGCCTTTACAGCCTCCACACATCTGAAGGAAGCGGTCCTAGGTAGGTTCAGCCCGTGCCGTAGCCCCTCGGTTCAGCCGTGCCAGCTCCACCACCCCTGCGCTGGTGCCGGCCGAGGGGGTCCGGCCGCTGCTGTGCAGATGGCCCTGGGGATGCTCTCCCCAGCATCGAGGGGAGGCCGGAGAGCTGCAGGGGCTGGGTGGTGGGAAGGGAGCTGGCAGCTGCTGGCTGGGCTGCTGCTGCCCTCTCCTGGTGCAGGATGAGACCCTGTGTCTGGCCGTCGCTGGCTCCTGCCCTTCCGGCTTGCGATGGGGATGTCGGTTTTGCAGCAAACTCGCTGGCTTTGGTTACAGGTAAAAGTGAATTTAGTGAGCAAAGACTGTAACCAGCTGGGATGGAGTCACCTTAAAAACAGTTGCGCTCTAGAACCAAAGGTGAATGTGTAATTACCTGAACAACATCATTCCTTTCATTTTTATCAAGAATTGAATTTTTTCAGCCCTGGCCACTGACTTCTCAGGTTTCACACGCTCAGCTGTGGCCGGATCGGTGTAAATCTGCCTGCACTGTTTTGCCTGAGGAATTTGGGTGGTTGGATGCTTTAGTAACAAAGTGCAAGTGAATGGTGGCCACAAACCCCAACACACCCCACCAAGCATCGTCTACATTTCTTTTTTTTAATCCTGAGCTTCAAAACTGCTTTATCACTGTATGTGTGCGTCAGGGTGGTGAGTCGGGGGCTGCGACTCACGTTTCTTTTTGATCTGTCCCTTCCTCTGTTCCCTGTGAGAAGTGAAGATGGCTGAAGATGAGGACAGTTTGGAGGCAGAGATTGTCTACCCCATCACCTGCGGGGACAGCAAAGCCAACCTCATCTGGAGAAAGTTTGTGTGCCCTGGGATCAACGTGAAGTGTGTGCAGGTGAGAATAAAGGTTCCTGACGCTGGACTCGTGCCTTTCCATGCCTGCGTTGCAGGCTCACCTGGCTTGTCCTGGTTTTGATGAGCTTTGGTAAGCTGCTTTGCAACAGAACCACATCACGGTGGGAGAGGAGGACGTTCTTGGTGCTGTTGTACCTGATACTTGTCTTCTCGGCCAAGCTGAGCAGTCTTGGGTGGAGAGATGCTGCCTCAATTTAACTGCATTATTGGAGAGTTTGAGAAATTTGGGCGCTTCCAGTGTCTGCTCAGTTTGAGAGGGAGTTGTGAAGTTGTTGAGATTATTGGTAAGGGACCTACTGAATAGGTTGAATGGTTAAAATTTGCATGAATTTGGGGAGCAGGGCCAAACTTTCATTTCCAGGACCATACCGTGTGTGATGCTGTCGTAAGCCGTCGCTGGCATTTATACATGGACTCAACAATACCCTGCTGAGGGAGTGTCTCCTCTGGGCTCCGTTGCGAGAGGGCTTTCCAAAGGATGGTCCTTGCCCTTCATAGGAGAGATGGCCTTTTCCATCCCCGAGGCAGAGGATAGGTACTGCTGCAGATAATGCTGCTGCTGCTGCCTAAAATCGGTCTTCTCTTTGCACTGAAGCCCATGCACTTGTTCAGAGAAGCCGTTTCTCATGAGTAATGGTGAGCGAGCTCTATGTTGGTCAACGTGGGCATTGAAAAGAGGAAGCCTGGACTTGGGAAATCCTTTCTGCGATGGACCGTAAAGCAGCTTTTTAGAGGCCTGCCTGATTCTGCAGGTTGCTTTTAGGTCAGCTCATGGCTTCAGGCACAACTGGGTGCGTAGGGCAATAAAAGAAGGGGGAAGAGCTGGCTGCTGATACAGTATATGCCAACTCCCTAGAGCTGGTTTTCAGTAAAAGTGGGTGTGTGCTGTGAGAGAGGCCGGAGGTTTCGCTGATACCGATGGTTGGGCTCGGTAGCAGGAGGTCAAAGGGCGAACGGGCTTCTCCTTCCCTCGTTTGCGTGGGGCGTAGCGTGCCCCTGGAGCCAAACGTCACCGGCGGCAGCCCGGCTTTTGTTGTGAGTCTGCTCATTAGTGGGAGTGTGAGCAGCTCGCTGCTGTTCACCCACACCTTGCACAAGCTACGGGTGTTTTTCCCAGCTGTTATGCCTGGGTTGGGCATTGAGTGAACTCCTCTGTGCTGCACACACCACCACCCCCCCCCAAAACCCTTGGCTTTGAGCAGCTGTTAACTAACCATCCGTGAAAGAAATATTTGGCTTTAATTTTTTTTTAACTCGGTCAACGTTCTCTAAGGTGGGGAAGTGTGTGTCGGCCGTCTGTTTTGGTGCTATTATTTTATTTAAACAGCACGTTGAGGCTGTGGTGCAGCTCCACTGCTGGGCACCGGGAAATGCCGTCCGGGCAGCCTGGCTCCGCTGCTGAATCACGCTCGCGGGGCACACTTTCGTCATTTTATGGCTTGTCACACTGATGTTGCACTTCTGCCTCTTGCAGTTTGACGATCACCTAATTAGTCCCAAGGAGTTTGTCCACTTGGCGGGCAAGTCGACCCTGAAGGATTGGAAGCGGGCAATCCGGATGAACGGGATCATGCTCCGGTTAGTCTCCTCCTTTTTATCTGCAGAGCAACAGCGGAGACTTCTTCTTTCTGGGGGCTAACGGTGGGGTGGGACAGAGCCTCTGGCACGGTTGTTCTGCTGCTGAGAGCGCGAATGCGCCACGGAACGTTTGTCTTAACAGCCTGGCCTCAAATGTGGTCTGCCCAATAGCTTTGCTTTATCCTTGTGCCTAGGGAATAATTTGGGGCAACCAATGCTTCCCCGGTCTTTTTAGGACTTGAAGGACACCGAGTTCCCAGCTGGCATAAGGTCATTGAAAATTTTAATGGCCGGCGGTGGTTGGGCCATGCTGTCTATGGGTTCTCAGTGTGACCTACCAAATGGAAGTCTGGTCATGAACTAACGCTCCCGTTACAGTATTTATATCACTTCATTTTTTGCCAAGAGCTTATTTAAAGCTTATTTATGCAAGCATTTCTCTCCTCTAGTCTTACCTACAGCAATTTAGTTCTGTGGTCTTCCTGAACACCAGCCTGAGACTGTGATTTAATTAAAGTCTGTCTCTGACTGTACGCAGGATGAAAATGCATCACCTCTTTCCCCAGGAATTGTCAGTGGGTTTATGCTCTTGTCACAGGGTGACATTGCCTTTGCCTGTATTCTTCTGCTTCAATGCAGGCGTCTCCCATATTCCTTCTAAGCAGCTTTTGCTCCACGTAGATTTTGTATAATAGGCTTATGCTTTGGCAAGGCAGGTCTTTTAAGGAAAAAAAAAAAACTTCACAAGGGATGGGGGAAGGCAAGCCCAGCAGCCCATGGGAGCAAGTCTCGGGAAGCTCAGGTTGGTCTTGGCCAGCAAAGCCTGGTGATGCTTTGGAGACATCTTGCTTAGACTGGGAAGATCACATATGCCAATCTTGCAACCTCGTTTGCTTAAGCTGAGAGACCTTATTTTAGTTTATAAATAGGGTTATGCCCCATCTCTTTTTGCGAGGTGTAGAGTCAAAAAGGGAAGGAAGAGACTTCTTACTGTCAGCCCTGGACTGAGACTTCAGCCGACCCTTCTCCTAGAAGCTGCAGGCACACACGGGGGGAAGGAGCTGGTGGGACCAGACTGGGACCTTCTCTTCTCCTTCCTCCCTCCTCCCTAAACGAACCAGGAGTTCATCAGTCCCAGCGAGGGTTCCTAGTTAAAATTACAGACCCCCGTGCAGAAGAGCCTGCTCGGAGAGGTGGGACCAGCTCTGAAACCAGCTTGTTTGGAGGCCAAGCATTGCCCTGCTCTTAGGAGGCAGCAGAGCAGCAGGATGGGGCAGCTCTGCCTCTGCCATGGGGAGCCCCAAGGATGGGTGGTCACGCTCGGGGCAGGTGTGTGCTGCTCGTACAAAGGCGGGGGGTGTCCTCAGAGCAGGTCGGGAGATCCCAGGGAGGAGGACCCTGTTCACCGTCACAGGGCAGGGATAAAACTGCTGCATGGGAGCGTGGCCCAGGGTGATGGGGGAAAAGGTCTCCCCACTCCACTGCCATTACGGGAATGGAAGTGTTTGGGCTCTGAACGGTACGTTTTCCCTGAAGGCTTCTAGCCAGCAGATCTGCTGAGAGCAGTGTGGTTTGTCCTGATGCTTCTCAAGGTATGTTTAGTTTCACAGGGATATATCCTTAGGAAAAGCTCATGTGTCCTTTGAGCCTCTCAGACCAAGTTGAGTGCTCCGGTGGCAAGGAAAAGGACTTTCTTGGACTAAGGAAATTCATCCTTTCTGGGTTGGACTTGGAGAGGAACCTTTTCAGAGGGCTGAAGTCCCGCTCCCCCTCCTCCAGCCTGCAGGAGGATGCGGGATGTGGCAGGGAAGTGGTCAGAAGCGGAATCTGCTCCAGTCCTTTACCGCAGCTACAGCACGATGGGCTTTTTTTCTCCCCATCCCAGCCTCCTGAAAGGCTTTGCCACCACTGGAGTATTGCGTGGTTGTCGGGTTTGTGCGCGTGGCCAGTACGGAGCAGGCTGTGGATGCTGTTCTGATTAACTCTTAGTTAATGCTGCCTCTAAGGTCAGGACACGGGGGGACTTGTCAAGGAAAATTCAGACTGCTGCCTCTGCCTGCTCTCCCGGCTTTTGCTTTTCATCTGGGACTTTGAGAAGTTTGGGGGTGAAGGCTGCCAGGGGCTGCGTCTCGGAGCTCTCTGCTCCCGCTGACGTGCCTGTCCCTGTGCTTGCTCCCTGTCTTTCAGGAAGATCATGGACTCGGGGGAGCTGGATTTCTACCAGCACGCGAAAATCTGTTCCAACACCTGCCGGAGCACCAAAATCGACCTGACCGGAGCCAGGGTGTCCTTGACCAGCCAGACATCGACGGAGTACATCCCTCTCACTCCTGCTTCTGCGGATGGTACATCCAGCCATTCCTCACACCCTAAACAGGGGCTTTGAAGCATTAAAGCACAACGAATGCCGCGTAACCAACGCCCCTTACGGTTGCCTCTCTTTTTGGCTTTGTGGGTTGTTTTATCCTCTGCTTTCTCTCCCTGCTCTGTTGCAGGATTCCCCATAGCAGAGCTAGGCAGAGTCGTTGTTAGAGTATCTCGGCAGAGATGCAGTAACTCACCTAGTTGCTCTGTAACACTGCATGACCCGAAGAGCCGCCCTTCTGGCCTCCTGCCTTACCCCAAACTGTGTAGCTGAAGCAGAAGACCGCAATTAATCTGTAAGAAAACAGTAGTCGTTGCTTGATGAAGTTCCCTTCTGTCCTCGCTGCCGGTCGGGCACTGTGTCCGTAGTGCTCGTCCCGGGAGGCAGGGATCAGCCCGGCTTCTCCTGCTGCACAGGGTGCCAGGGTAGGAGTCCCTCCTCCCCCCGGCTCTAACCTGACTTCTTCCAGAATAATTTAGGGATTTTCATTTAAGGCTCCCTGGCTGAATTATTACTGGGTTTGTCTGATGAAAGATTAAAGAGAACCAGGGGATACAACAGATTTTTTTTTTTGTCTGTACTCATGCATGTGGTTTATAAAACTGGATTTAAATGATGTTGCAGCCACATAACTGTAGCCCTAAACTTAATTAGACCTATAATTACAGGCAACTATTTTATTGGAAAGCTTTCTAATTTCTAAGTACTTTTACATTTCTGAGAGTGAAGAACAGCCCCCAAAGAGCCCCACACCCCAAGCTCCTGGTGGTGTCCGCGGGAGCAGAGCAAGGACAGGCTGAGCCCCTTGGCCGGCCCTGCGGAGTGCCTTCGGCGGCACGGCCCGGTGGTGTGGTGGGGAAGCCGGTGCACGGTGCAGCCTCCCCGGGCTCCAGAGCCGCAGCCTGTCCCAAGCCCTCCCGTTAAACGTGGCTATCAGCCCGCTAACGGGGAGACGCTTCCCACGCCGCTGGACTGCTCTGGATAACCAGAGCCCTGAAGGCTGCAGAGTAATTGGATTTAATGGCAGCGGCTGAGCATTACAGACGCTCCGCACAGCACCGCAGGTCTCTGGCCAGATTCCCATTCATCCCGCTCCTGCGCACGGCTCGAATGACGCTGGTTCCCCCGGCTCTATGGTAACAAAACCGCTGAGATTTGGCAGAGCTGGAGGGAGGGAGGGAGCCCCCCGGCACCCCCTGCGCAGCGGGGGGTTGCTCTCCCCTTCGAGGCTTTAGAAACCCTCCAGGCATCCCAGTCCTGCAAACTGTAAGCTGGGCAAACAAGGGTTGCCAAAAAAATCAGACTCTAAATCTGTTTGACTTTCGCCCTAAGCAGTACTAGTGTGTGTGCAGGGGGGAACGGGAGGGAAATGCTGCTCGTGGGCCTGTGTTCTTGTGCAAGCGTTGCAGAAGTAATCCCCGGGGTATTGCACTCCAGTGTGGAAAAATAAGTACTGCTGGCACAGCAACCGCGTGCAGCTTCACCAGCCACTTGGGAGTCTCCCTCCGTTCAGCTTTGAGAGCTAAGTTCAAATAAAAGCACTCCTGTGCCATAAAAAGGAGAAGTCACAGAAATGCAGCAAGGGAGTGCTTCCCTCAGAAACAGCCCGTGAAAAATACAGAGAAAAATCAGGACTTGGGATTTTTTTTTTCTTTTCTTTTTTGCTATTGGTTGCAGTGAACGGATCCCCGGCTACGATTACCATAGAAACGTGTGAGGATGCCAGTGACTGGAGCACCAGCATCGGAGGTACGGCTTGGGATC